ACAAACGGCGACCGGAAACGGCAAAAAACGGCTCCAGGATTGGAACTGGAGCCGGAGCCGGTCAACAAACGGCGACGAAACCGTTAAAAAAAAGACGTCGGAACTGGCAAAAAAACGGCAAAACGGAACTCGGTAAAAAAACGGCCCTGTCGTTTCCAGGGCCCACTAAGCCGCAAACCTCGCTCCTCTTCCTGCTGACCGGAACCAATGCCGGGCCACCTCGCGCCAAGCAAAACAGAACTCGGTAAAAAAACTGCCCTGTCGTTTCCAGGGCCCACTAAGCCTCAAACCTCGCTCCTCTTCCTGCTGACCGGAACCAGTGCCGGGCCACCTCGCGCCAAAGGCCCAGGCGCAGTGGATCTGGAGAGAGAAAAATACAGTGGCGTGGAAGGGGGGAATAGAACGGCAGCTGCGTCTGGGAGGGGCCCTATGGGCGCGCACACTGTGCAGTTAGAGGGTTGCAAAGATGATGGGCATCGCGATGTCCATCGTCTTTGCTTTTGGGAGACACAACTCCGAGTGCGTCGAAGACACCTGCACGCGCTGCCACGGTGCGGCTTGGCGCAGGCCGAGAATTGACTCCTCCTTGAAGAGACGCGAAGAAATCAAACATGCAAATACAATTGGCAAATGCAACATCCATGCCATTTCAATCACCGCGAGATGGTTCTTAAAATGAAGTTGTGATACGAATGCAAGATGCTCCAAGCAATCAGCGGGGAGGTTTTCGAGAACAAATTGCTATCTGCAAATCGTAGAGGCCAGGCGGACCATCTCAAAAAGAAGGCCAGATTCGTGGCTATATGCACTGCGCCTTTGCTCTCTGGGGAAAGGAGCTCGAGACTCCGAGACGCACTGGACATGGATACAACTCTTGCCCGCGGAAGGGCCACCCCGTCCTTTCCGTCACCGTTTCGCCGGAAGTTGGCCCACGGCGGGCCACTGGCGCCGTTCCACCCAGGACGCCCACGCCAGGGCCGCCGCCGATAGTCGGCGCCGCGCCAGCCCGCCGTGCTCCGACGGAGCTCTGCGCGCGGCGCCTGGAGCGGGGACCGACCATCCTGGCGTTCCTCTCGCTGGAGGCCCGTCAAGTGACACCAGCACCAACACAGGGGGGTGCCACTGGGGGGAGCTGCTCCTGGATGTTGATCCTGGTGGTGATCTGTCGGCTGCCCAGTAAGCCCCGGCATCACCGCCATCACTGGGATCGGGATCATCGTCCCTCGATGGAAGCACACCGCCGATATTGGCGTTGGTGTCCACCCCTAGGCCTCCGATGTCGGCATACCACGAACTTGTCCTGGAAAGAAACGATGTCCTGATAACAAAAATAATGCCCTTAGAACGTAAAACCGGCTGTTGCTAAAGCAAGACTGTCACCCAGACATGTTCCGAGACCATGTCGTGCAGACCACTAAGGCTCTTACGTAGGACAATGTTTGGTGGGCATACAGGCAAGTCAGAATGCTTCGCCGCTGATTGAATACTCTGACAACTTCGGTACCTCCGCCGCTGTTTTGCTGCCGGCTGCGATGGTGGCTCGGTGACGGCTGTCCGCGCGCTGCCCAAGAAAATCCGCACACGCGGCGGCTGTGATCGGTGCCTCGCGCCGCGGTCCACCTGCCCCACTTGGTAGAATCAAGGCGATCGGTACCACGACCACCATCACGAGGAGCCAGGGAGGGTCCTCCTGGTGGTATGATCCCTCTGTTCTGCGGCACCTCCATTCGAGATATCCCCAATGACCCACGGAGGGCATGGTGGACCTTCTCGCCAGCGGTGGCCCGTTGGAGGTCATGTGGCCGTTCCTCCCTCCGAACTGAACGGCGGGGGCCGAACAGGCCCTCCACAAGCAAAAACAAAGAAAACCGACAACCCAAACGGTCCCAAAGCAGCTGGTCCTCTTTGCTGCTGAGCCCCCAGAATGCCCGTTCAACTGTTCGTGTGACCCTCTCCTTGTCCGGACGACAAACAGCTACGTACATAAGCATGAACTTTCGGAGGGCCGCGCGGATTTCTTGGGTCGGCGCTGGACCTCCTCGGGGGTCCTCTGACCGGGGTCAATCCAGACCTGGGCCAGTCAGGCCTTGCAGAATCCTGCAAGATCCTGCAAGATCCTGCACCCAAACCCGGGTCAATGCGAAGAATCCTGCAAGATCCTGCAGGATCCTGCGCCCAAGCCCGGGTCAATGTGACCCTGGCCCTGCAGGATCCTGCAAGGCCAGGGCGCTCTGGCTGACCCCCGTTTGCGTTGACCCCCGTCTCAAGGCTCCCAACCTCCCACACCCCGAACCGCGCTGGGGACGGAAAACCGCGCCGAGCCCAGACATCCGCGCGGACTTCCGAAAGTGAAAGGCTACTCCAGATTTCGTAATAAAAGGGAGGGGGTCTGGACCCTCCAAGACAAGCCATTTCAGACCCCCCCTCGTGGGAGAACCCTCCAAAACATCGTCCCCAGACCCCCCAGGCCTTCCAAGATAGCCTGGAAGAGACCCCCCCCGAAATGAGACCCCCCAACCTTTATTACGAAATCTGGAGTATGTCTTACATGGCAACTCCCCCGAGTGCGGCAGGCGGACCGCGGCCCCTGTGCAGGGAACCGCGCCTCACGGGGCATCGCTCGCGCAGCGAAAGGAGACGACGAAGGAGACCAGAAGAACGAAGTGACCCTATGATTTGTTCCCGGGTAGCGGCCGTGACCTGGGGGGGGGGTCGGGAGGGACAGCAACAGCAACGGCGGCCGCAGCGTGCGCCCGCCAGGGTGCGTCCGCGCCACCGGCGCATCAATCGCCAGTGCGCACCGCACCCCCAGTGCACACGACAATGCCCAATGCCTGCGTGCAACACAGCGCCACCTGTGTACACATCGCAATGCCTCCGTACACCACAACCGCCGCGTGCACTGCAGTACCACGTGGCCCATGCACACTGCAGTGCCTGCGTATACTGCAGCATTCGTTGTTTATACTATGATTATACAGACAACCGTTGCTTAGAAAAGAATTGTTAATGCCGTATGACAAATGTGCGCCTCTGGACTCTACAAAACCCCATTTCTTATATCGAATTTGAAAAGAATCGCTGTGGAAAGCGGAGCGCTTCTGGAGTCCACAAAAATCTTTCGTTTGAAAAAGGAATCCCTCTGGACATTGGGGCGCCTCTGGATTCCATAAACAAGAAACGTGTTATATACACGTGTTGGAACTGGAAAACAAAAAACGATGGAAATTGTAACGCCTAAAGATTCCATTCGCGTGCACCACAACGCTTGCGTACACCACAACGCCTGTGTACACCACAGTAGCCGCGTGCAACACAGCGTCGGTATACACCACACTGCCTGCGTGCACCACAACGTTTGCGCACACCACAGCGCCTGCGTACACCGCAGCAGCCGTGTGCAACGCAGCGCCTGTGTGCACCACGCTGCCTCCGTGAACCACAGCGCCTGTGCACACACCACAGCGCCTGCGGGAGACGGCGCGGGGCCGCCCAGTCTTCATTTTCTCCATGGCGCCGGGTGTTCGATACGTGCATTACGGACGGGTGGTAAGAACACAAGACCCTTGGCAGCCGAAGTTGGGATTTGTTGGCAAAAACTGGCCAATGAAAGTGGCAAAGGACAGGCCGCATAGGCAATGACACAAGGTTGCCCTGGAGAGGGTGCGCGTCATTACTAGGCGCGTTGACTGCATCGCACTGCAACCGAGCACCGGCCAGAAGGAAAAGCGAGAGTCACCGCATTCTGCACTTGCGGAAGAGTGGTCGAACCAGCCTGCGGTAGCTGAGCCATCGCCAGCTGCGTTGGACGATGACGACAACGACAACGACGACGACGACGACTGCCAGAGCCAGAATACTTTTGTAAGCACCAATGCGTGGCGATCAGACCACGTCATGCCTGTGAGCACATCGCCATATCTGCGGGGGGTCCGCTCCCAGCAGGTATGGGGGGCCAGCCTCCCCCCCACAACACGATCGTCAACGTTACCTGGAGGGGGAGGACGGTTGGCCCCGGTAACGAGCGTTACGCCGGAGAGAAACAACAAACAAAACGCACACGAAACGGTACCGATAGCGCCTCTTCCCGCGAATCTCCCAGGGTGCGTTCTGACCGGGATTCCAATGCGAGTCCAGCCGTGGCAACGAAGGCTTTCTAAGACGAGCAGCGGTGCAGTCGGAGCATGGCCACAAGAACGTGGGCCACGAACACGAGCACCTTCGCCGAAGGCCCACGGCCCACGGAGACATCCAAAGTTCGGCGGTGGACAAACCTCCCTTTAGTAGACCTCCCCTTAGTGAAAACGAGCTGGGACCGAAACCGACGGACCTGGACCCGCAAACATGACGGCCGCGACGCCCTCTCGCGAACCGAAAACGGCAGATTCCTTACTCGACGTGTCAGGGTAGGAGGTCTATGCACCCCCGAAAAGCGAAGAGCGGTGCAAGGCGGAGAGCCCAGACACGAAGGACGTGGGGGTACCCCTCAAAATCGGGAGCGTCCAAGAAGGGGGTGTGTCCAAGAGGGGGGGGGGGCGCAAAGCATGGCCCGAGGCATGTGCGCGGACCACGGAGGGCTAGGGAGCGCATTGAAATACAGTCGGGGCGTTGACCTAAGGAACCCTAAATAAGGAACGAGGCCCCTTTTTTCCATAAGTTAACCTTCGATTTCCTGTCGAAAACGTAAGGAAAGCCTGAGGCAAGCTGTGAAACACTTGAGGAACGCGGAGCCCCTCCCCAACGAAAAGGGTTCCTTCTTCAGGGCCCCGACTGTAAGAAGAAAGGTCATGAAGTCCGGGCAGATGTCATGGCCCCGGCCATGATCTCCCCCCAGACCGTAGTCATCCCCCCCCCCTGCCTCGGACGCCCCCGGCAACAACCAGGGCGGTTCTTCACCCTCGCGCCAGCTGTACCTCCGACCCTCTGAGAGAAGAGGAGGGAACAGGCAGCGGGCAGGCTGCGGGACGTCCCACGCCCAGTCGCTGAACCTCACGGCTGCGCTAGAGCCTCCCCTCCCGCGCGAGGGAGGGCAACAACAACTGGCAAATACTGGCATCGAACATATGATCCGTTTTGTCTTCGTTCCGTTTTCCATCGGTCTGTCTGGGCTGCGCCTTTGCTGCAATAAGATTTGGGTGTTCTCGCCTCTTCCACTTCCTGCCACTCCAAAACGGCGCCAGAGGAACCCCAAGGTCTCCCCAAGACGGCCCGAGAGGCCTCCACGAAGGCCCCCGAACAGCCCAAGAGGACACCAAGACAGCCCAAAACGCCTCCAAGACGGCCTCACATGCCCCCAAGACGGCTCCAAGAGCGTGCCCAGACGGGGGACCCAAAGGGACATTTCGAGCCCTCGGCTCCAAGAGGCTCCCAGGAGGCCCCTAGAGGTTCCCCAGAGGCCCCAAGAGGCCCACAAGAGGTCCCCAGGAAGCCCGAAGACGCACCCAAGAGGCTCCCAAGAGGCCCCCGAGAGGCTCCCAAGAGGCCCCAACCCAGAGGCCCCCCAGAGATTTCCGAAGAGACCCCAAGAACCATTCCTGAGGACTCTAACCCACGTCAGCGTCGTCGTCCTTGCCGCCGCCGCCGTTGTCGTCGTCGTCGTCGTCGTCGTCGTCGTCGTCGTCGTCGTCGTCGTCTCCCTTCAGGGTCGGCGGCACCCGGCCGTAAGGCCTTCGCAATACTATCCGTTTTGACTTGCTTCCGTTTTCCATCATTCTGTCTTGGCTCCGCCTTTGCTGCAGAACGAATTCAAAACGAAAACAGCCAAGGACATCGCCAACACGCCGTTTGGGTCCAACCATGGCAGCGGGAGCAAGAGGCAAGGGCAATGCGTCGATTGTCGGATGAAGCGTGTCGCTGTTCTCGCAAGCCGCCGAGTGGGCTGGGTCGCGCAAATACTACGTCTGCCGCCAGCCACCCCAAACCCGAAAAGGGCGAAGGAGAAGAGGAGAGAGAGACAGGGCGGGCGAGGCTGGGTAATAATAACGCGGCTTGGAGGCACGCAGAGTCTTCGAATGCCACAATCTCTCGCGGGGTGAGGTGGCCGTCTCGGCCTTATATGGAACGAGCTACTCAGACAGCTCAGGAAATGTAAACGAGAACGCGCAGCAATTCACAAAATTCTAACTCAGCGACCAGCCGAGGCTGGGGAAATCCAGGAGGCGCTCAAGAGTGGGCGCAGACGGCCTCTGTGGCACACGCTACGTTTGGAACCGATGCCGAACGCTGGCGCTTCACAAGCTGACCAGGGGTGGGGGCAGGGCAGAAGACGGGGCGAAGGGCGACAAGGACGGCGCCCGCACCGCGAGGCAGAGAACCCGAGCGAAGCACTGAAGCTCTGTGCTCCTCGCTCCGAAGTCCTCGGGCGCACCCCGCGCCGCCAGGGCTGGCCAACAGCTGAAACCAAGGCTGGCCAGGAGATGACTCCAGGAGGGGCCCCGCGGAGGGCCTCGAGCGGACTCCGGTCCAGGGTGGGGTGGGGGCGGCGGCCTCCTCGGGGGCCCCCCCGGGAGGCGAGGCGGCGCCCGAGGGGCCCCGCTTGCTCTCGGGAGCGAAACGCGAGCCCCCTTGCCTCGACCCCCCCTCTACAGTCGGGGCCTTGACCTAAGGAAAACCCAAAATGAGGAGCGAGGCCCCTTTTTTCCAGAAGTTGAACTCCGATTCCCGATCGAAAACATAAGGAACAACCTGAGGCAAGCTGCGAAACACTTAAGGAACGCGGAGCCCCTCTCCAACGAAAAGGGTTCCTTCTTCAGGGCCCCGACTGTGTGAGCGCCAGGGGCCGTGCGGCCCTCCTCGGCTCCCCGACCCCACGGCCAGGAACTTCTGCTCGGGGCGCCGCGGCGGCGGCCCCTGTAACGGGCAGTGCCTTGCAAGCTGGTGGCGTGCGTCCCCCTGCTTCGGAGCGCGCGGGGCTGGGAGCAACAACTCGGAACGCAGGGCTGAACCTACCCGGTGTTTTTCGCTTCCGTTTTGTTTTCGTTTTCCCTCGTTTGGACTTCTGTCCGCCTCTACAGCAACAAAATGAGGTCGAAACGAACACGGCCCACGAATTCGCAAAAAACACAGTTTAGGCCCAGCCCTGTCGGAACGTTGATGCTTGGGGCCTGGAACGTGTCCAGCGTGCCGCGCAGAAGCGCAGCGGACCAGGCACGGGCGACGCGACACGGCGAGCAAGCGATCCAGACCGTACAAGTCGCCAAAGCTCGGGCTCCGCGCTGCGCTCTCGCGCCGCCTCCCCGGAACGATGGCAGCCACCCGGCCCCCGTCCGAGAAGAACGGCCCTCCCGAAGCCGTTTTTCTTCAGACTCTGGCAGGTCAGCTTGCATGGAGGGGGAGGGGGAGGGGGGCGGGGCGAGGCCCGAAAAGGCATCTGGACTTCACGCAGGTCGGGATTCACTTCCACGCCTCTTCGGCCCAGCGCTGTCGGAAAAGGCGGCGGAAGGGGGGGAGGGGAACGCCAGGCAACCAACCTCGCCCGATCCCGATCTCTAGAACAACGGCATCCTCTCTCCTCTCTAGGCCCCCCTGCTTAGGAAGCGACTCCTTCTTGATTCGGCGGCGAGGAGAGGAGAAGGAGGCGTGAGGAGGAGCAGGCCTCCTCAGAGGGCGGCGGGACTCCTCCGAAACCCTCGTGCCTTCTGGGCATGTCTCTTTGTCCTCGGGGACGGCCTGTGGACACCTCCTCATCGGAACCTCTGCGTGTCCCGGGGCGCAGCCCTCCACGGCCAGTCATCCCTGACCGCCGCGGCAGCATGTCGGGTCGGGCGAAAGGGGGGGATAACAAAGGGGGGGTTTGAGAATCAGCTCACGTAGCTGATTTCCCCGGCGCCTCCCGGCGCCGGAGGCGGCTATGTATCGAGGAATGGGCCCCTCGGTGAGGCCGAAACCAGCTGCATGCAGCAAATTTCGTAACCCCCCCTTTCCCAATCCCCCCCTTTCGCCCGACCCGAGCATGACCACGCGGGGCACGGGAGGGAGCGCTCTGCGCAGCGACGGCGGCGGCCGGAGCGCGGCGGCCGCGCTCCACGGGGGGCGTGGCGGCACGAGTCCGAAGGATTGCAAAAAAACGAAGGATTGCAAAAAAAACCTTCGAAGGGTTTTTTTGCAATCCTTCGAAGGGTTTTTTTGCAATCCTTCGGTTTTTTTGCAATCCTTTGCAATCCTTCGTTCTGTGCTGAGGAAAGGCTGGGGCGAGGCTCGGGGACGCACGACGTGGGGGCGCCCGCCCTCGAGAGGAGAGCGTCCAAAAGTGGCCCGCGGGGGTGGATCCCGCGAGGCCCCGTTCGCGTCCGAGCATCCAGCTTTTTTGGGGGAGGGGGGCTCGGGGATTGGGGGAGAGAGGTCGCCTGCAGGGGTTCGGCCAGGAGGCTGGCAAAATACATCGGGGATGGACAGACCTCCCTTCAGTAAAACGTGGTTTAGCGAAAACGACCTGAGGCCCAAACCTGGCGGGCGCAAGACTGGAAAATGACGACCGCGGCGCCCTCTCGAGAACCGAAAACGGACAATTCACGAATCGACGTGTCACCGTTGGGGGCTCTGCCGACCCCCGAAAATACATCGAGCGGCGGAGGGAGCATCATGGCAGGCACAGGAGGCCCGGGGACGGAGCAGGGGGAAACAGGGCGGAGGGAAGACGAGGGGGGTGGGGAAGTCGGGTACAGAAGGCCCGGGGATGGAGCAGGGGGCAAAAGAGCGGAGGGAAGCCGAGGGGGTGGGGAAGGGCTGAAGCGCAGCAGAAGGAAGAGCTCAAGACTTGACGAGGAGACAGCGCCGTCGCCAGTCGTTGTGGGCGAGATGCTGACAGGACGACATGCGCAGGGACAGGCAGCAGGTGCACGAGGCGCGGGACACGGGAAAGCATTGCGTGACGAAATGCTCTGTCCTCCTCCCCCTCTGCAGAGTGGACCCAGGGCGAAGCGCCCTCCCCGTCCTCCGCAGCAGGACTCCGAGCTCCTCGTCTGTACAGTAGCACCCATCCTCGCGCTGCGGGCATCCCTAGAGAAACGTGGAAACACGTCATCGTCGCCAAAACCTGCGCTCGGTGCACTTGCCTCACCGTCCGCGAGCGATGCCAGGAGCACTGCTGGAAATCATGGCGGCAGAGTCTGCGAGCGAAGAGTCAAATCCAGTCTGCCGATGTCTCCAAAACGCCTCTGGCAACATATACGAATGTGGCGAGCTGCCGTGTTGCTCTTGACCACCGTATTCCGCCGACGGGACACACACACACACACATACACACCAACACGTCGCGAAGAGGGGGTATGTGCTACGATGTTCGTCGAGTCACGTACCCAGGCAGAACCTCAATGGATCCACCGCTTCACAGCCTGCGCTTGATGACTATAACGGCATGTCTCGCGTATCTGTGCCCTGACCGTATCGAGCGCTCGCGCACTCTCACCTCCCACCCTCCCCTCCGTCCGTCCACTTCTCGCTCGACAACCACTTCCATGACGCGCCAGAAGACATCCCAAACTCACGGGGCGCAAGAACAAAACGATGCCGCTAGTTCCTTCCCAGACCTATCCGAGGGTGCGTCCTGACCAGGGTCCCGAGGCGAAGGCGGACGTGACGTCGATGAGAACCCAGGAGGTTGGCCGGAGAAATCGAACGGGGGAGAGAACAGCAGGAGAGAAATGGGAGGGAAAGCGTGCACACGGAGGAGCGGACTGTCAAAAGGCCTTCGTGCGGCGAGCGCAGCGAAACAAGGTGGGTGGGGTACAGTCATCGACCTGACCTAAGGAACGATAAATAAGGAACGAAGCCCCTTTTTTATCCCAAGGGATAACGCATAAGCAACGATAAAAAACAACTAACGCATAAGGAACTGTAAATAACGCATGCAAACCTAAGGAACGACCGAGCCCCTTTTGAAAAGTAAGTGTTCCTTATTCAAGCCGCTCACTGTCGGCGGCTGAGGGGGAAGAGGCCAGACATCCGGTGGCTCAATCCGCGAGCCCCCGGACCTCTCGACCCCCTCTCGAGCGCCAGCTCTTCATGTGGAGCACATTCTCGAGTTGCTTCTCAACGGCCTGGGACCCGAAAGCGGCCCCCCAAGAACCTCAACGGTAACGAGAGAGAGCGCGGCCGCCCAGGTTCAAGCGACAAGCACCGAAACGGCCGTCCCGACTGTTTTGAAACAGAGAAAGAAACCACTCCTTCGTCAAAGCCGAAGATCTCGAACGATGGATGAAAGAAAAGGGGGGCTGGAGGGTCTCTGGAGTCGTGGAAGCCTCCTGGAGGTCCCTAGAGGCTAGTAATGGCCTCTACTGGCCCAAAGAAGATAAACTTAAGAAATCATCAACAAAAACACACCAGCCCTCTGGGCGGAGGTGGTTTCGAGCGTTTCCTATCCCCTTCTCCCCCTTCGGGGAGGGCTTACCACTTTTCCCTTCGCATGCGAGCCCAGCCGCTGGGGCATTCGATGGGGCTTCCAAATTGGGTCACGGAACGTGTGAGGAGTGTGCCATAAAAAGTGCGGCGGGCGCATAGACCTTCGGTGGGATTAGCCCTCTATGGGGCCATGAAGCGTGTGACGGGTGTGCCGAAAGGAGTGCGGCGGGCGCATGCGAACGCAGCCACTGGGGCCTTCGGTGGAGCTCCCTATGGGGCCACGAAGCGTGTGACGAACGAACGAAAGAACCCGCGCGCAGAGAGCGCATTGGCAAACTCACTAATCGCACATGCGATCATGAAACATGCAGGGCTCAAGTGCGCAAGCGCGCGAGCATCGCCGGGCCTCGGACTGCAGTGCACTAGCATACTAATACTGTGCGAGGGTGGACGGCAGAGCACCGGCCTGGGGGGGGGAGGGAGGGGAGGGGAGGGAGGGGGACGAGGAAAGGAACACCGAGAGTAGACTGAACACTGTTGAGCCACAGCCGAATACCATTGAGAAGGGTTGTGCAATGTGGTGTGCTGCCTGTCACGGTCGCCTCCTGCCACGGCCAAGGCTTGCGCGTGTAAGTAATTCGTCCGTCCATTATAATCGAAGCCGCATTCGCGCGCGTCGAGTGTTCCATTTCCGCAGCGCCACCAGGTTTTAGGGAGACTCTTTGGAGCGCCCCGGGCAACTGTACAGTAGAGCTTAAGCTGCCTTTCCAACAAAGATAACCATAACGGCCCAGTGCTGGCGAGTCCACGAACTTCTGCATTGCTCACTCAGGATACAAACGCCGGCGGAAAATTGCATTATTCGCAGACACATCGCCTGGAATCCATCGAGACTGTCTCTGTCCACTTTCAAGAATATGCACGATTTCAGTCCTTATAAAAGTTTAGAGAACACGCGCGCCTCCAATATACGATGCTTCTGGGTTTTGCGCAAATTGGCGCGGTTCCGAGCCAAACGCAATGTTTGAAATGCGCCCTTTGCTTCGCCAAATCTTCGCGTGAGCTCCGCGCGAGGTTCCCGTCGACCTGAAGAGGCCCCCAGGATATCCGCCAATCCGGCGTGTGAGTATGGATGGCTCTGCCAGGGTAGGGTGAGGGGAGAGGGGGGGGTCCCGGTGGCGTGGGTTCCGGTGGCATGTGGGGGGGGGAGGGGGGCGGTCCCCCGTCCCGCCTGTGGACATGTGGAATTGGGGGGAAGGGGGGGGGGGGGTCCGGTGGCGTGTGTTCCGATGGCGTGGGGGAGGGGGGGGTCCGTGGCGCGTGAGTTTGAAGGAGCCTCGGCTACAGCCTCGAGGCTGAGGTTCAGCCTCTGGGGGGTTGCCCGGGTGGCTCTGCTGGGGAAGGAAGGGGCGGGGGGGGGGTGCGCGCGTGCGCGGGGCAATGTTTGTCCGCGCGCGCGCGAGAAGGGAACCAGGGAGAGAAGACCGAGAAGTGGAAGGGGAGGCGAAGGTGTCGGTGACATGCGTGTCTGTTGTGTGGTGTGTGTGCGTGTGTTTGCGCGGTGCGCGTGGTGTGTGTATGTGCGTTGCCGTCGCGTAGATGTGCATGTGCCTGCGAAGGTGGTACGCGTGCGTGTGGTGTGTATGTGTGTGTGTGTGTGTCTGGGGATGTGTCTAGTGTGTGTGTGTGTGTGTGTGTGTGTGTGTGTGTGTGTGTGTGTGTGTGTGTGTGTGTGTGTGTGTGTGTGTGTGTGTGTGTGTGTGTGTGTGCGTGCGTGCGTGCGTGCGTGCGTGCGTGTGTGTGCGCGTGTGCGCGCGCGCAATGTCTGCGAGCGCGTGCGTTCGCGTCTGTCGGCGAAGTGTCGCCGCCCAGTCTGGGGGCCGCCCAGACCGACCGGGAATCGGCGGCACTACTGTTGCATTGTATTGGTTCACCATCCGGTCCAACAATAATTTCGTTTTCTGATTTGCAATGATAATGTTTCCCCGGAGTGTTATTCCAGCTGATAAAGCCCGCAGATCGTATCAAGTGGCCGTGGTCTCGGCCGAACACTGCGATCACGGCCACGGCCGTCGATCGCAATTCGAACTAATGCATTAGCAAGGGGCGGAGGAGTTTTTCAAGGTTTTGGGTGAAGGTTGACGGTTATCAGCACACGCGCTGGGACCCGCTGAAGCCAACAGGAGGAAGGGCAGGAAAGGCGCGGAAAGGGAGGAAGAAGGAAAAGAAGAGGAGGAGGAGGGGGACAGGAGGAGGAGGAGCACCAGCAGCAGCAAAAGGAAGAGCAGGAGGAAGAGGAGATGGAGGTTGGAGAAAGTGGAGGAGGAGGAGGAGCAGCAGCAGCAGGAGCAGGAGCAAGAGCAGGAGCAGGAGCGGGAGTTGGAGAATGAGGAGGAGGCTTCTGAGACGGAGCTTGAACGATGGCCAGAAGATTTCATGTTTCACACTGCCACGGCACGCACAACACGCCGCTGTAGGCGAAAGCCTGGTCCAGGGCAACTACTTAGCACGGAGCACCTTTGCTGTGCACGCTGCCCCACCCCCTTCCAGTCCCGCTGAGGCCTAAAAAGGGGTGAGGTGTTATATAAAAGCTGCCCGAAGACGGCCCCCAGACGAAGTGTCCAGAAGACCCTTGTCCCGGACACTTTGGGCGAAGTGTATATGAAAATTCGGCATCATCTCGAGCTCCCTAAGAAAGCCCCTTAGCAAACATGTATTCATCCTCCTCCTTCCCATTATGCACTTGGCTGTTGGGCCTTGACGCCTGGCGTCGTCGCTCAGCGCGCGTGGCGCACAGTTGCCGCATTCTCCGAGTCCTGTAGCAGTCTATTCACGTTTGCTCAGAGCCTTTAGCATTCCAAGGACAGTGGACTCTGCAGAGCTACCAGACCAGACCAGACCAGCGGCCACCGAGTCCTGGGCCCACCGAGCCCTGAGCCCTAACATTGCCAGTCGCTTGGGGTGCGCACTGACCCCTCCTCGCAATCCTCGCAGGTTGGATTTTGAGGCTGAGGATGTGGATGAGCTACCCCTCTGATCCCTCCTCCGTTTCCCCCTCCGCCTCCTCTTCCTCCCTCCCTCCTCCTCCTCCTCCTCCTCCTCCTCCTCCTCCTCCTCCTCCTCCTCCTTCTCCTCCTCCTCCTCCTCCTCCTCCTCCTGGGTGATTGTCATGAGGGAATGGACAGGCTCATCTTGAGTGACGGTGAGAAGGCGAGGGGGCTGGAACGTAGGCGCCTGAGAACGAAACTGACCCAGTCCCTCTTCGTCGATTGGCCCTCGTTCCTCGGACCCTCTTGGAGTCGGCAAGAGAAGAAGGAAGGGGAGGAGGAGGAGGAGCAGCAGCAGCAGGAGGCCAAGGACAAGGATAATAACGAGGAGGGCGAAAAGGAGCAGGTGGAGCAGAAGGGGGGAGGAACATGAGGAGGGGGTGATGGAGATGTGAGAGGTGGGGCTTTTCAGACTCGATGCTTGCGCCAGGTATCCCAGCCTGGCTTGGTTCGCAGGTCCAGCTGCCATGGGCCAACGCTGTAGGCCGGAGGAAGAGGAGGAGGAGGAGGAGGAGGAGGAGGAGGACATTGACAACGATTATGATTACGAGTAAGGGGAAGGAGAAGGTAGAGGAGTGAAAAAAGCGGCTGTCG